AAAACCAGGTCTTCAAGAGTCAAGGGGATGAATCCTTTTAGAGTTTTTATCTACACTATGAGTCCTACCTATGAGCAGAGTATGAGCTCAAACAGAGGGTATCAGTTGGTGAGGTTCCCTCGTAAGAGAGAAACGTTGTATCGATAACGAACATGTGTGTATATGTGGCTGTTCTAGTCAGCTATTAAAGTTCAGCCACTGCGATAAAAGTTTTCAGCATTGTAGTAGAAAGGATTTTCATTCATTTTTCTGGCTGAACAATCCAGAAGAATGGCTTCGTTGAAAAAGTTATGTGTCATACAACCCAATAATCTGTAAAGTAGAAGCATGACCTTCGAAATGTATGAGCTAGAAGCACATCGATTGCTTGCTTATAGTCATTACTCGTGACCACTACAAAGTCACTAAAGGCCACTTCAAGGCTACTACAAAGTCACTACTGTAGTGAAAAAGTGTGTTTAATTAATTACTACCAATGAATAGTAATTAATATCACTCTGATGCCTCACACGTTTATTTACAAATTAACGGTTTATTGGAAATTATGAAGTAATACATCATTCAACAGAGATTATCAAGCGCTACAAATTTCTGTACTTGCCTTTTCAAAATCTTACCAATAAGCAGTTATTTGTACTCTGTTTTAGGCCAATGTGATTTCTACTATTGACTTCTGAATAGAGCGGCCATGAATCTGTTTTGAATAACTCGAGAAAACGAAAGGAAGTTCGAGTTTTCAACATTTCGTAGAGAAGGCTTTACTCTACCTTCACAGATATTTTGTATTAAAAATCTCGGTTTTTCAGGTGATATACCTGACTGATGGAAAGCGATAAGGTTGCCAGTTTCTGAACCTGCGGTGGATTTTTAATTATAACATTATGGCTAGATAACCTTAGGTGTTTTCTACAATTCAGCTAGGGCCGACCTCATACAGAACTGAAAAGAGAGATATATTATCTGAGATTGATATATGGTGATGATGGCATGGAAAAATGAAGGAAAAGTTCTAGTGGACGAAATAGAGCGATATATCGTTCTAATACACTCTGCACATCAAACTCTTTAGGCTTATGGGTATCTTTATGGGATATCAATCTATTCTATCTAGGGGTTTACTGTTTGTTATATACCAGAAATCAATAGATGAGCGAAACATTGATAGCATGTGTTTTTTATCTCACACCTTAAGATATTTTCGTTAACTAATTCCCATTTCCTGCTGATTCATAATAAGTAGTTTTTGACTAACGGGTGGTTCAGATTAAATTGATAGACCTTTTTCTCAAGTTAGACTCGACCAGAAAGTTTGGTTCTGATGCTAAAAGATAGAGAATTTTGTGTAGATTTTATTGACATGTTCTATTTTAAATAAGCATGTACCGTTCTTTTGTAGCATTAAAAGTAATGGATGCCGCAAAAATATCACTTGCGCAACTACAAAATCGGAAATATGTAAGAATTTGCCCACCTAGATTGAGTTCAAAAATTTCTTTCTTGTAGTAAGAGATGTAAAATTTTTCGGCGTATCTTGTGGTGTGTTGGGTTTGATAAGCTTAGTTACTGCTCCTTCGAACTACCATCAAAGAGACGTTTACGGGTCACGGCATCCTACTTTTCTTTAGCAATTTTCTCACAACTTGGCCTTACAAAATTCATCCTTTTATGTAAACAGATGCAGAATTTAAAGGTTTACAAAATGCTCTTTTTTTAAAGAGCTGATCTCTTTTCTAACCGAATGACAAAGTTGAAATGTTTTCATTGGGTTGAAACTGCGCTGAAAATAGATAATTAGCGTATTTTGTGGGCGGTTTTCAATATAGTAAAACTCAATCCAAAAATTTGATTTTGTGTCTCAAAGACAAATACGTTTCCGTACGTTTTCATAGTGTGTCTGAATAACGTATAGAAAATTATTTAGCAAATAAAAATGGCATTTTATTCTAGTCAAGTGCTGAGCAAATGGTTTTTTTGTAGCATCCAATACTTTTAATGCTACAAAAGAACGGTACGTGCTTATTTAAAAAAGAACATATTAATAGAATCTACACAAAATTCTCTATCTTTTAGCATCAGAACCAAACCTTCTGGTCAAGTCCAACTTGAGAAAAAAGCCTATCAAAAATCGGCAATTTAATCTAGACCACCCGTTACTGTCGCCAATATTATTTATATCCGCATATGTAATCAGTGGTAAAGTCGAGAGAGAACATAATTTAGAATTTGGCCCCCACATTGACCTAGAACTGCAACTCGCTTTTCTAATTGTATATAATTGAAGTATGATCATCACAATGCGACAGGGACCTAGCCTTCTTTGTGGTTCTGTATTTATTATCTATTAATTAGTATTAATTCTTTTAACATCGACAAAACAGGAAAATATACAACATCATACGTATCAGATGAACATTGTACAGCGTTCATCAGAATTGAAGAAAAACTTCTAAAAAAGAACATCTTTGTTCCGGTACATACATGCTCTAAAATAAACGTGTTAAACATATTTGACGGAAATCTCTTTTGTTTCATAGTTTCATGATCCGAATCAAACCCGCAAATTTTTTTTTCAGATATGACCAGGACACGTTTTGGACACTGTTGAATTCTAGTCATTCAGCACATGCAATAAAAGAATGGTGTATATCATTACGAACATATGTTGATAATCATCCTCATCTTTGTAAAGCATAATAGTAAAAAATTTCAAGTACTCGAAAATATTCGAGTATATTTTTACGTATACATAAAAAAAAATCTCGAGTACGAGTATTGAAAATTTTATACTCGAGTATACTCGCCCGTCATCTCTAGTATTCTACATCTGGAATAATTAATGATAGAAATGTTTCTTGAAGACCAAGTAGTACTGATTTTTATCAACGATGTCGTATTGTTCTCTCAAATAATGGTCACAATAGAGCTGTAAACTTCACCGAGTTATGTGACCCAAAGCTCAAGTCGGTGGTTGAATTTTGACATCGGGTATTAAGGTTAACACATACTATTTTCTACCTTTATTGTTATTGAACAAAAAAAATAACGCTTACACGTTACGGAAGGGCGTGGTTTCACCAAGTTTCATTATCTGAAGCAAACAGAATCTTTAACCTACAGTTCAACAATTGGAAGCCATAGATATATGATTGCTCTTTTGATTAATTATGATAGAACAAACAATATTCCAGATTAAAAATTATAAATAACGGAGTAGAACAAAAGAATTTAGCAAAAAATATAACAAATTTGATTAGACAAACTAACAGCAGTATAAATTCTCATAACTGGAAATATGACAAGTTTTTCTGCAGGTTGCATTTATCCTGAGTTATATTTAATACAATGACAAATGTTAAGTTAAAGCTTCATGGAATGTTGATTTATTTCTAAGATTGAATAAATTAAAATAACATATAGTGTTTGTTGATCCGCATAAAATTAAACATAAATTTAAAGAGAAAAAAAAACAAATAACCATTCATAGTATGTAAACGCTCGGCGTATAGTTACTAACAGCGATCTTCTAGTATGGAGCTAATATATTACCGCATGAGTTTGGTCGCCACATTACTGGTTTTGACTGATGCGGCTCATTTCAACGGTGGTACGATATCATGGCAGCCGGTTGATCCCACTGATAAAGTGAGTCCAATATCAATAATGATTACTCAGTCCTATACATGGGCTTATCCGAATGTCTACTGCAACAATTCGATGATCACTAATCATATTCCCATCCCAGCTCGTATTCCTAATACCTTTCTGAACGTATCAGCAATTTATACGAAGACTGGTGGTTATTCTGCCGTTCCCGTCACTCCTTATTGTACTTCGTTCAGCTCTTCGCTCGGTGTTCTTAGTAGCCAACAATCAGATATCGTTAATTTGACGGTTAACGCAAGTTTTTCTATTACTTTCCAAAACTCATATTGGGCAACTTTGACAAATCCATCTGGAACGAATACTGCTACTTGGTCAATAGCAACGATGATCAATCTTTTCGTTCGACCAGATGGACGAATAAATACTTCGCCGGTGTCTCAAATGTTATCACCACAACACATTCAGCAGAACGTTCTAACAACTATTGTCATACCTACGTTCGATTCTGACAATGATGTTGTGCGTTGTCGATGGGCAAATAAGTCACTAAATGGAGACGAATGTGCTAATGTATGTCCTCCTACTGTGCTACCTGCCGGAACTATCTTGTCAAGCAACTGTACATTATATATTAAAGGTACAACGTCACCAGCATTGTATGTTGCGGCTGTGATGGTAAGTATCAACTTTTAGAAGGTCTAGTAGCTTGCACATAGAGGACTTCATAAACAGTTTTAGATGTGAGTTTAGATCGAGGACTTTATAAACAGTACCAGTACAATTCCTATGAGCTCGGTCCCTCTGCAGTTTCTCGTATCAGTTAATTCGCCTCCCTCATGCACCAATCGATCATTGATCAGCGGCTCAGTTGTTGATCAATCCTGTGTTGGCGTTCAGGCGACTGTTGTCTACACAACGATGTTGTATGTTCATAATTTTTGTGGGAACACTGTGACGATTCTCGATATTGGATTACAAGCACCTGCAGGAATTATTCATGGGCCATTGACATCAGTGTACGGTAGTAACACGTCATTGTATTCCATGAATCTGACGTGGACACCAACGAACCAACAAACTGGTACTCAACTTCTTTGCGCAGTGGCATTGGACAGGTAGCACGCTCATCTATCGCACAGATTGTGCGATTTTGTGGAAAGTTCCTAAGAAAAAGTTGAAACAGCTAGATTTCTTCAATGATTCACAAACATAAAAAATCCTCTTATGTATAATATTTTTCTCCAAAAAAAAACCCTTTTATTTCAAAAAGAACGGCTTGATTAGCAGAAAGTATCAGCGCGTAGCTACTATGGTCGACAAAAAGCAGCATTGGTGACTGTTTTCCGAATAACCCTTAAAAGCAAAACGCTAGGGAATTGCGATTTCACCATTCAATTGCTGAGATTTGACAGAATTTTTCGATAAGCAAAGCGTTTTTGACATTATTTCTCAAAATCTTGTTTTTTGAGGACTCTCTGAAAAACTATTTCATAACTCGAAAACTTAGCATAGGAATATATTAGTTTCTTTTTATGAGCAGATAGTCCAAAGTGTCCTATTCAAAATGGGAAAAGCGACCTTTCAATTATGCATGACATCGGATTTTCTGGGCGCGCTAGGATCGATCCATTCAGATGTGGTAATCGCGAAAATAAGTGGAAACATAGGTCCCACTCCGTTAGCAAATCAAGATATACTCTGTTATATCTGCTCAATATGATTCTGCACTTAAAATTGTTAAAACGTATCTTTTGCTTAGGAAGATTTCTAGAAAATCTTTCCAAAAACCAAAGTATTTTAGGTTGATCTTTTAAAAGTGTTATTGAACTCCATGGGATAGCGTAGATATAATATAATATATCTTGATATGTTGACTGAGTTTGGATAGCTTTTGAGTGAGTTATGAATTTTCTAATTTTACGTGAAAATAGCAAAAATGAGTTTATGCCCGAACTCCGCACACTTTTAATATAAAGTAACTATATCTGTATTCCAAACTCCGCACATAATTACATGAATTCGTAATGTACGTGATCTCAATCTCCGCACACTTTTTAATTACCAAGTAAAACATGGACTGCAAGAAATAGAAAAATATATCATTATATCATATATTCTTAATTTGATTGTGATATTCCGTCTATATAGCGATAAGCTACTGCCCGTACACTCGACATATATTCTTCAAGGCTCAATTCACCCAGTTCATACGCTTCTTTATTTATACACAATTTAAATGCTTGATTCTCAGTTGATACATGTTG